ACTTTTTGATCTGAAATCCTTTTAGAAGGGGCAGTACATCAATTATTTCAAATCATGATAATTCTCAACAATCATCCAACCAAATAACGCATATTCAACCTTCAGCTTATGATATAAACAACATTCCTTCCTCTTTGGATCCTTTATTTAATTTAAGCAGTGTAATAGGCAGTGGTATGGGAAACATCGCATCTGATAGTGGATCAGGCGTTTCGGCAAGTTCTTCTACAGGTTTGCAATCTATGATGCCTCAAGTTTTAAGTCAAATCCCACCACCTCCGGTAACAGGTTTGTAATTAAATTTAAATTTTTTGTGACTCGCCAATTTAAAAAGATACCAACATTGTTTCACGTAGCAACCACAGTAGCTGGCGTTACTACCAACTTTCCCGGATTATATTCTAGCACAGGATTCGATATGCTTGGAGTTTTGGTAAGCTTATACCTAACCACCATTAAAGATCTTTTGACAAATTATTTTATATTAATTTTGTGATTTATACAAAAAAATCAGGCTCGCGTTGCTTCAAGGTTCGTATTTTTTTAACCTGATTTCAAGACAAAAACAAGAAAAGAAAAATAAAGTAAAAAAGGCTAATTTATAATTTCGGATATTAGGCCAAATCCACAAATCAATATAGGCCCTGTTGATATGAGTTGTTCATTTTTAGTGGGTATGTTACATGAATTTTGATTATTCAATACATAGTTCACAAACTTGCCTTGCTTGACCTCTTATGGAATAACTTTTCTAGTTGATGCCCGTAAATATGATTTTCCAATTGTATATGCCAGTCATACATTCGAAAAGTTAACTGGGTATTCCAACTCGGAAATTATTGGGCGAAATTGTCGATTTTTACAAGCTCCGGATGGACATGTTGCTCTCGGATCGCGTCGTCGTTATACCGACAATAACGCGGTTTATCATATCAAAAGTCACATGGTCGCCGGAAAGGAATGTCAGGCATCTATTATCAACTATAGGAAAGGTGGACAAGTAAGTTATGCTATGATTCTTTCTATCCTTGTTTTATTGATTAATTAGTATATTTGTAATTTTAGCCATTTATCAATTTGGTAACCGTAATACCTATTACTTGGGATAGTGAAGAAATTGTATATTTTGTTGGCTTCCAAGTGGTATGTGAATATCTATGACAATCATTAATCCTTCCACACAATATATAGTAAATAATTTATCTCAATTATAACCATAAAAAAACATCCCAAATAATTTTATATATTTGAACTTTAAGAAGCTTATAGGAAAATATCTATATAAATATATATATATAAAATAAAAAAAATGTATTATTCTATCTTTGTTTTATATAAAATATTATAATTTACTCAAGTTATATATTATGTTCTTTTATAATTCCTTTTTCTTTTTTTTTTCCTTTTTTATCCCCCTTTTTTTTTTCTTGATGAGCGAGAGACATTATTCATAAGCTTCTAACCCATTCATTCAATATGTGGTATTATTTCCGTTGTTTCCGATAGATCTAACATTTTCAATATTTAATATGAAGGACTTGGTCGAGCAGCCAAATGCGATATTAGAAAAAATGAAGGATGATTGTTGAGAATTATCATGATTTGAAATAATTGATGTACTGCCCCTTCTAAAAGGATTTCAGATCAAAAAGT